AAAGCTGAATTCAGTTTTAAAACAATTTTAGACACTAACAAAAAATGTACACACACCCTATATCATTCTTTTTTTTTGGTACCGGGGATAACATTCTTTACAGTACTGCCAGCCCACTTTTTTTAATTAAACAAAGTAAGGTTGTTGGATAATATTTGCTATGCTTTATACTGTGGTTGCAGGGTACTTACCATTTTATGCAGATGAATTTTTAAATTGTTTTCTTCCATCCTCTTTTTCCCCCAAGATTAGCCTTTCTTCAAAAATAATGACTAAAGTCTCTAAACCAGATAACTGATAAAAATGTAAAATAAAACCAGATTCAGAGCCAGGCATGGTGGCACATGCCTGTAATCCCAGTATTCAGAAGGCTGAGGCAGAAGGATCACCATGAGTTCGAGGCCACCCTGGGCTCCACAGTGAGTTCAAGGCCAGCCTGAACTATATAGCAAGATTCTGTCTCAAAAAGAAAAACAAAAATAAAAAAGTTTCAAGAAAATTTCCTTTAGAAATCTGTTACTCATTATGACATAGATTAGGGCATGGCAAAACTGGCTGGGGAAGTAAGCATGACCTGTTTATTACAAGATTCCAGAATACATGCGGAGAACAGTTCCCAAAGCCCTGAACATGGACTTCTCTTGAGAGTTGAGCAGGTTTTCAATAAGATGGCCTAGACCCGACATCAGGCTGAGGCGTGGAATCCTGGCACCACCTCTCAGGACCCATATGTAGCAGTTCTTCCAAGTTTCCTTGAGATTTGGACAGTATAAAAGGACAGAGATGCCAAGAAGAGTTTGCGATCATGACTTTTCTACAGTAGCTTGTCCTGCTTCCTCCAGGGTATACTTTTATCTTGCTTTATCCTCTTTCACTTGGCCTAAGATTGCTCTCCAGAGCCAGCTTCTCCCTCACTCTTCACTTTTAGTTTTTCAAATAAACTTTGCCACTGCTTTTTGCTCACTTTGTTCAATTCTTTGTTCAAGATGAGAAGAGCCTGGAATCTAACTCCAGAAAGAGAGGCAAGCAACCCAGAACTTAGTAATATTTGAGCCACATTTAGAAGGAGCTACCCAATAACAATTACTGCCTTTAGACAGAATTTCACAGCACAAATACAAAATTGGACTCAAGATACTTAAACTAGGTTTTACCATCTATTATCTAGACTTCTTCAGATCCATAAAGGTTCCATTCATCACTTTTCTTGACACTGCTGTCTTATCAGAGAAAGAACAATTAACAAAAAGGGTTTCAGGGAGTCATATGTTTTTTGTTTGTTTTGTTTTGTATTGTTCTGAGATACTAGGGATTGAACACAGGGCATCACACATGCTAGGCAAGCACTCTACCACTGAGTTACATGCCCAAGCCCTTTCTATTTTTTTATTTTGAGATAAGATGTCACTAAGTTACCCAAGCTGGCAACTTTTGATCTTGCTGCCTTAGCCTCCTGAGCAGCTGGCATTACAGGTGTGTGCTATCACACCTAGCTAGACACAGGTTTTTTAATTTTCCATACTCTAAGGTATATGTAAATTAGCAAGACATAGGAAGCCTTCTCTTTTTCAAGCAACTTCCTTATACTCCAGAAACATTTCCAAGCACCCACCAATCTGTTCCTAAGGTTTCTGTTCCTAAATTCTAGCTGGACATTGCTGGCATATCAAACATCACCATCTTTTCACAAAGGCTGTCACTACTGAGGCTTGCTTTGCCTCCTTCCAACCCAATGTGTTCCTGTTTGCTTTTTCTGATTCAGCTTCTTTTTTATCCAGTGAACACTGAGGTTAAAAGCCCTGTGACTCTGTTATTAATTTTCCCTCTTTTTCTAATAATAGTTCACACTTTCTTTTTACATTTCTTTTCAATTCCAAAAGCAATGAGGGCCAGAGATGTAGCTCAGTGGCACTGCACCTGCCTGGCAAGCCCAAGGTCCTGAGTTCGATTTCCAGTACAAAAAAAAAAAAGAAAAAACAGAAGTCATGAGCTCTATTGCCCTATTACCAATTATGGAATGAGGTGACTATATTTCATTTCCTGCTTTGGTTTTTCTCTTTTTGACTCAAAAGTTTTTATTATTTCTAGCTGGGCACGGTGGCACATGCCTGTAACCCCAGCACTTGGGAGGCTAAGGCAGGAGGATCTGCGAGTTCAAAGCCACCCTGAACTACGTAGCAAGACCTTGCCTCAAAAAACCAAAAAAAGGGCCGAGGATTTAGCTCCGTGGTTTCGCCGCCTGCTGCACAAGGACCTGAGTTTGATCCCCAGTACCAAAAAAAAAAACCAAAAAAAGCAAAAAGCAACAAGAAAAGTCTTTACTCTTTTTATACTACTATCAGTAAAGTAGATAACTTCTGAATTCCTCTTTAGTATTGTTCACTTAAGAATTATTTGGGGCCTGGGATTTAGCTCAGTGGTTTCCGCCGCCTGCTGTGCAAGTACAAGGACCCGAGTTCGATCCCCAGTACCAAAAAAAAAAAAAAGTAGTAGTAGTAAAGAATTATTTGAAAGTATCATGTAGGTGAAGTGAGTTAAATTTTAAAGTATCGTTCTTGGGTCAGGGATTTAGCTCAGTGGTTCCAGCGCCTGCCTTATAAGCGCAAGGTCCCGAGTTCGATCCCCGGTACCAAATAAATAAATAAATAAATAAATAAAATAAAATAAAGTATCGTTCTAACCTGATAAAGACCAGAAACGGAGGACAGAAGGTGTTCTCCGTCAACAAATCAAAATATAACCTGGGAACTTGTTACAGACAGAACAGTTTTTCCTTAGTTACATCTTTGATTAAAGTAATTTAAGGGCTGGAGATTTAGCTCAGAGGCACTGCACCTGCCTTGCAAGCGCAAAGTCCTGTACCAAAAAAATAAATAAGTAAAAATTAAAAAATGAAAGCATTCATAATGAGGAACAGGCTTAAAATAATGATGAAGGAATAGAAAGCTGTATAGTTCTAAACTGGGTGTGGTGGTGCAGACCTGTAATCCCAGCACTTGGGAGGCTAAAGCAAGATAATCACTCCTAATCTGAGGCCAATCTGGGCTACATAGTGAGACCATCTCAAAGAAACAAAATAGAAATAAATTTTTTAAATTTTAAAACTATATAGTTCTAAATGAAATATCACATTTTCTCTATTCAACATTCAATTATGTATTGATCTGTGTAAATCAAACAATTCTTTCCTTGTCTTTAGGGAATATAAACCAGGCATGATGGCACATGCCTATAATCCCAGCACTCAGGAGCCTGAGGCAGGAGGATCACAGCAAGTTCGAGGCCAACTAGGGCTACATAGTGAGTTCAAGGCCAGTCTGAACTACACAGTGAGACCCAGTCTCAAAAAAATAAAAAATACATATATGTGTGTGTGTGTGTGTGTGTGTGTGTGTGTGTGTGTATGTGTTTATATATTACTATGGAATACAAGGAACGACCCCAACAGAACATTAGAAAAGTTACTATTTTCTGGACAAAAGGAATTTTTATAGTATTTATCATAAAATATTTGTCTCAGAAATGACAGACTAATATTCATGCATTACTAACCACCTACACAAAGCTCAACACTGGGAATATGTGATAAAAACATGATAAAAAGAGGCGGGGATTTAGCTCAGTGGTTCCAGCGCCTGCCTCAAAAGCGCAAGGTCCCGAGTTCAATCCCCAGTACCAAAACAAAAAGAAAAAAAAAAAATGATAAAAAGTCTCAGAAAAACCCCAAATTTTTACAATATTGAATTAATTAAATTGTTTCAGGTTGAAATACGACTATGTGAACATCTATTGATCATATAACACTCAATTTAAATTCAAATCTTTTTTTTTTTGGTACCAGGGATAGGCAGACACGGTGCCACTGAGCTAAATCCCCAGCCCCAAAATTCAAATTCAATTGACAATATCCTATAAATGAATTCAAACTGTTGCTATAGAATCATATATTATTTGTCCTCAGATTTTCACCACAATTCAAGATTATAAAGGTGGATGAAGGATGATCTAATCAAATTTATCAATTCCCTGTACAGTTGAGGCAAAAATGGTCAACCATTTATGGGCAGCTCAAAGCCTGGAAAATGCTTCTGTATAAGATATTAAGTAACACATTCAACTAAGCCCTTATTAGCTGAAGAAGAAGCCAGTATCAACTTAAGTTTCCCAAAACTCTTGGACTCTCTTATTGGGTACAAAGGGCACCAGAGATGCCAAGCAAAAGCATGTTACAGATTTAGGCTGAGGCAACAGTAAATAAGCTCATTCAACTGAATTCTACCTTTTAAATTTTTTATTTCTAACCAATGAGACAACTTCAGTCTTAAGTCCACTAGAAATTCTTTCCTGGGAAAGCTAAATCTTGTTGTATCTGTTTAGGAAAGAAAGTTCTGCGGAAATAGTCATGGCTTCCTCCTCTGCTGATCTGTTCTTTAGCTGTTCTAAGAAAAAAGAAAAATCACTTATGGAGGGATTATTTGCTAGGCTTAGTACTAGAAGCTTTAAGTGGATGGTCTCATTCAATATTGACATAGTCTGAAATAGGCATCATTATGTTCATTTACAGATGAAGAAACTGAAGCAGTGAAGTTTAAAAGCTGAGCGAGGACGCAAACGCATTTCTACTTGACACTCAAATACTTAAGTGCGTAACTGGCTTGGAGCTGATTTAAAATGCTGTGTGACGTCGGGGAATGCGCTACACAGCTCTGGGCTTCAGTGTCCCCGGCACCAAAAGGTCTCAGCGCCGAGGAGGGCGGTTCGTGGCGGACTAGCGACCACGGGTCGACTTCCAGGGACAGCAGCAGGGCCGGGGGGGACCCGGCGGGGGCACGGCAGGGTCGGACAACGCGGCTTAGCCCCAACAGGCGCGACGGTATAAATGCCAAGCGAGGAAGGAACAAAGCCGGCCCCCATGGGTCACAGTGACCCCAAGAGAGGGCGGCTGCGCGACCAGCCCACGGCCTGGTTTCCTAGGCAGCTGGACCAAGAACTTGGCTCACCTCCGCCCGGAATCACACGCAGGCACCTCCCCTTCACGCTGCACCTCAGCCGCCATCTTCGTAAGCAACTCCTTTCCCCGCCTCAGGCTCCGCCCACACCTTCGGATTGGCTAAAGTGTCCTCCATCTCCCATGCGATTGGATGAATCGCCCGCCTCTCCTCAAAATCAACAGTTTCATGATACGATTGGTCTATTCAAATACCCAACCGTCACTGGTGGCCCCTCCCCAACCCAGGCAGAGAAGAAAGGGTGGGTGAGTCCCAGTAAATCTCAGAATTACAGAACCATTAGCAGATCCAAAATACTGAAGAAAAATATTGTGTCTGTATTGAACATGTATTTTTAATCTTGTAGTTATTCCCTAAACAATATAACAACTATTTGCATAACATTAATATTATAAGTAACCCAAAGATGATTTAAAATATACAGGAGGAAGTGAATAGGTTAAAAATACTATGGCATTCTATATATGGACTGGAGCACCTGTGACTTTTGATATCCATGGGGATCCTGGATCCTATGGGCAGGGAGGAACATCTGTACTTATGTTCCACCCAGTTCAAAGCCACCTTTCTTGAGATGGCCATGCAGCACCACAGGCCACTCCTGCTTCATTCCACCTGCGCCCTTTCAGCTTCCCTGAGTGTCACAGAATCCACCTCACTGTGGGAATCATGGAACCAAAAGCCACATGATTTTGTTCCTAAGATTCAACGGTAAAAATAAGGATGCTTGTTCTCCCAGTTCCATGGGCTTCTGGTGAAAATTAACTGAGGTAGCAGATGTAAAACCATTGTAAACTCAAACATTAATTTTATTCCATATTGATTTCAGGGTTTTTTTGTTTTGTGGTGTTTGTTTGTTGTTTTGTTTTTAGAGACAGACTCGCTAAGTAGTTCAAGCTGGCTTTGAACTCCCAGTGATCCTCCTGCCTCGGCCTCTTAAGTGTTGAGATTACAGGCACATACCACCATACCCAGCCTATATTTTTTTATGCTACATTTTTCTAGGGATATTTTTCCTGTTGTTCCTTCTGGTATCCTTTCACCCAAAGGTCCTCCCAGCACTCTCCCTATTTTTCATGAAGCTCAGTCCATACTTCCTATTTCTCAACAAATTCTTCCCTGTCTCAGGGCCTTTGTACATGTTATTTCTTCTGGCTGACTTATTTTCACTTTACCATCTTTCAAGTTTCTGCTTAAATGTCACTGGTTCAGAGGACTTCCATGGACAGACTACATAAATCAATTTCCATGCTAAATTTTTATAAAGAATTCTTCCTTCAAAGCAGCAAATAAATATATGAAAAAATGTTCAACATCACTGGTTATTCGAGAGATGCAGATGAAAACAACACCAAGATTCCACCTCACCCCAGAAAGAATGGCTGCTATCAAGAAATCATCTAATAACAAATGCTGGTGGGAGTGTGGGGAGAAAGGAACCCCTCTCCATTGTTGGTGGGAGTGCAGACTGGTGCAACCTCTGTGGAAATCAGTATGAAGATACCTCAAAGAACTAGGACTAGAGGTCCCATTTGACCCAGCTATTCCCCTGCTGGGTATCTTCCCAAAAGAATTAAAAGAATCATACCACAGTGATATATGTGCACCCATGTTTATAGCGGCACAGTTTGTAATAGCTAAAACTTTGAAAACAACCCAAGTGCCCATCAACTGGAAACTGGATAAAGAAGATGTGTTTTTATAAAAAATAAAATGAAGTACTACTCAGCCATAAAGAATGAGAAACTAAAAAAAAAAAAAAGAACAAGAAACTAGAGACATTCATAGCTATATGGATGCATATTGAGGCCATCCTCTTAAGTAAAATAAATAGGACACACACTTGTAAACACCAAATAGTTTCTCTGGTATGAGAAACTGAAAGTGTAATTAAGGATACACATGGATAAAATGGCCTAATGACATATTTCTCGGATTGTGTTTCCATCACGTGTCATATGATTGTATCAAAATTTAAATTAGGGAGAAGTTTGACTTATGTGGAGTCTGCTAGCTAACTGGAGTATTTTCCCAGATCATTATTTGTTCAGTGTTGGTTTGGGGGATCTTTCTGAAACAAATCACATCCTCTGGAGTCTTGCTGGTGCTTGGGATGCTTTTTTTAAATTATATGGAAAAATGTTTAAGTGCTTTACAGTTTTGTTTTGGTTGAGTTCTACTGTGTTTGAATATTACTGTGGTTTTTTCCCCCTTGCATTGTTCTTCTTTGAATGGTTTTAATTTTTTGTATGTGTGTGTGTTTGATAATAAAGTTATTTTTAAAAAATTCTTCCTTCATAACTCTTATTACACTTTACATATCTGTGTGACTATTTGTTTCATCTGAGCACTCCCACCTATGCTTCCTGCCTCAGGTGGACAGAGACTATATCCAGTGGGTTCCCTGTGGTGTCTGGCATTTAGTGGCTGTTCATTAAATATTTTTAAACAAATATAAACAAGTCCTCAAAGTTCACTCTCTGGATAAAAATTGAATCATGTGTTCTAATAGATTTTCTTTTTTTTTTTTTGGTACCGGGGATCAAACTCAGGACCTTGCACTTGCAAGGCAGGCAGGGGAACCACTGAGGTAAACCCCTAGCCCTAGATTTTTTTTCAATTTATGAATTCATGGAAACTTTTTTGGGGGTAATACCAGGAATCGAAACTCAGGACCTTGAGCTTTCAAGGCAGGCTCAGTGTCACTGAGCTAAATCCCCAGCCCTGAATTCATTGAAACTTTTTTTCTCCAGTGCTGGGTATTAAATTCAGCCCTGTGTGTGCTAGACAAGCACTCTTACCACAGCATTTCATCTCTAGCCCTCAATTTATGAATTCATATTAAAAGTTTGATAAGTGTGACCAAATAAAATCACATTTAGTTTTAAATTTAACAAGTCATCTTTATTGAGCAAATATATGAAAAGAAACAAAATTGAATAAAACATTTATCAGTGACTTTTTTGAGGATCCCATGGACTTGCTCATGCTAGGCAAACACCAGCACTGAGCCCCAGTCCATCAGTAAAATTTTTTTTTTTCTTTTTCTTTTTTTCTGTTACCAGGGATTGAACTCAGAACCTTGTATTTGCCAGGCAGGCACAGCACCACTGAGCTACATCCCCAGCTATCAGTAAAATTTTCATTAAACACCATACAGCATTGAAAAAATTCAGTTTAAATTAGTTACTATATATACAAAGCAGGGAACCTAAAGCTCAAATTCTGCCCATCCTCCCAAGTATGAACAAGTTTAAACAGGCTCCATCACATCCAGCATACAATTGATTGAATTAAATTGATATTTTCATGACAGAAGAAATATTCAGCTGGCACAATGGCACATGCTTGTTATCCCAGCTACTCTGGACACTGAGGTGGAAGAATAATAAGTTCAAGACCAGCCTGGGCAATTTAGCAAGATCCTGTCTCAAATTTGTAAAAAAAAAAAAAAAACCCCAAGACCCAGCTTGTTGCCAGAAGCCTGTAATACCACTACCAAGGAGGCTGAGGCAAGAGGATTGTCACAAGTTTGAGGCCAGCCTGGGCTACACACTACATGATGAGACACTGTCTCAAAATTTTTAAAAATAAAAATAAAGGGAGGTCCTTGGGGTGTAGCTCAGTGGCAGAGCAGTTGTCCAGCATGAGAAAGCCCCTGGGTACATTTGATGTACGGAGGAAGAGAAGGAGGAATGAAGAGGAGGAGGAGGAGGAAAGGAAGAAGGAAGTGGAAGGAGAGGGAGGAGGAAGAGGAGTTATTGTTGTTTAAGACTTTAAAGTGTTGGCAGAGATTTAGCTCAGTGGTTCCGGTGCCTGCCTCGAAGGCACAAGGTTCCAAGTTCGATCCCTGGTACCAAAAAAAAAAAGCAAGGAAGTAAGTTTTTAAATTTAAAAAAACAAAGACTTTAAAGTATTGCCACTGCAACTAGGAAGAACACCATGGAACTGTATTTCTGGTTCACCTGCTTTATTGAAGAATCACATTTTTGTATAGTGTTTGGGGAAATGCAACACAGTGAGTAAAAGCTCGGGCTTTGGGATTAGCCCAAGTTCATATGCCAGTCCATCACTTTCAGCTGTGTGACCCTGGACAAGTTACTTTCTGATCCCATTTCCTCTTCTGTAAAATAAGGATAATAGTAATTCTCCTGGGGCTATGGTAAAGATTAATCAGATAATCTCTGAAAAGCTGCTTAACAGCACAGGTCTGGTACATACTGAGACTAGATGACATGAAGACTAGTAATGCCACACTGCCTTCTCAATAGCACAGCTCCCTCCCTGTGCTATGTGGTAAGGACCAGACATGACACTATGGTTTCAGTTTAATCAGTTACTCTGGAGAGAGCCATGTTTCTCCTCAAAACCAACTGTTCCACTGTAACTTCTGATTATAAACAATATTATTGCTGAGTGCTGTGAAAATATGCATTCAGCTGACATACCTTGTTTCTGCAAGAGTGTCATGACTCACTTGAAGTTATCCTTACTCTACGCAGGTACAGATTGTCAGCCTGTGATAAGCATGACTGTCCAGCAGGAATTCGAGACAGTTCATAAAAACATCTTGTTTCCAACAACCATACTGGACAAAGGTCAGAGAAGTGGCCCCAGCTCTCAAGGAGTTTACAATAGACTTGGGGAGATAAAATGAACACATAATAAAGTCACACACAACAGAATACAGTTTAGAATTATAAAGGACTAAATAACAGAGTAGAGAATAGACTCCTGGGAGGTCAAAAGTGTAGAGAACAGATAGCCAAGACCTTCAGGGGTGGTTAACAGCAAGGATGAGGACTTGGTTCTGCTGTGAATGTCATTGCCAGTCCATTCAACACCCCGCCAGACTGCAGCTTTGGGGAACAGTGATGTTCTAATCACCTGTTTCCAGGCTTTGCAGTCCCCAAAGGCATCTTTCTGCCTTCCATTATTGTTGTTTTTCCCTCATGAATAGAACATCTCTGTGCCTGTTATGGCTTGTATTTGAATGTTCCCCCAAAGCCTCATGTGTCATGGTTGGGGCTTTTTGCAGGTGGCTGGATCTAGGGTATGTGATACTGGGATTAAGGGCGTGTAATACTAAATTTGTC